TGTATGTAAAGTGGACAAAGTTTATTTGATAGTTCAGGAGATGTGTGAAAAGAGTGAGAATGCAAAATATGTCTATACCATTTTTTCTCTTTTTTTGCTAAGTTAAGACAACTTTGAACTAGGTATCTGCAGGGGCAGAACATCGAATGCCATTAGAGATGATGTAGAAGCTTTTGAATGCGGTAATATCCTGTCACCAGTAAATGACTTCAGATTGTAAGAATATGATATGGCTTGAATTATTCTGCACCTATGGACTTTTGTGATTAGTTATCAATGAGATTACTCACGTGCATAGCCTTTTTAATGACTGTGCCACCTATGACCATGTGTCATGTGTGCTGTCAGTATTCATAGCGTTTGAACAGTGCAGAACAGTGATCCAAATGATGACACGTGAACCAAAACAGAACTGTTCAAGTTAAGAGGGTTTTTTTAAGTTACTAGTAGCCCTTTCCCTTTAAAAGGGAATGACCTGATCTGTCTTCAATATAAGCTAAATTTAAAATCGAACACTTATTAGCATAAAGTGTACACATACATTAGAAGCATGTAAATACTTATTCATTTCTAATGTGGAAGTGAACACAATGAGGGCTTGTGAGATTTTTTCCAGCATATTGCAATGGAAATAAACTAATGGATGTTGTAACAATTTTCAGTTATGTTTAACAGGCCTCCTTGGAAAGAACAGTAACTGCTGACTGATATGGTAGCAATAGAATGAGCCTGTACTCGCTTAGAATTTAATGGCTTTTAGAATTTAAGGGTCTCTGAAGTGTTACATATGTTATTGTATGTACAAGAGGTAGAGTGTTCTAGCCTTCAGAAATACACTTCTACTCAAAATTACAAGCCATGGAGCTTGCTGGAGAAGTTACAAAAGTGTCCATTTTCACTTGCTTGTAAAACAGATTCCCAACTAGAAAGGAAGCAGCTTTGGCTCAAACTATGATGGGCCACCAAACAGTGTGGCATGAATGAAAGGCAGTATTTAGCAATGATTCTTATACTCAGTCATTTGTCACTGTCAGAAGATGAAACTGTGGAAAAATTAAACCCTTCAGTCCGACTCAATATTCAAACTCAGATCGTACTCAGAACCTTGTAATTTGGAAATATGTCAAAAGTACCTTGAATTTCCTCACACGACTGTCATTTGAATGTAAAAAGCATTATACAGAAGAAAGATGAATGTAGCAAATAATAGTTTTACACGATAGTCCAGTTAATGTTTTCAGTATAGCACAGTTGTGAAATTGCTGCACAGTATTAAAACATTCAGATTGATGGCAGTGTAGGAATACTACTAAACCATCTTAAACCAACTTTAAATTACTTTTTAAGAATGAAAAGGTCTACCGCTGCTGATTAGAGATTTTATGGTGTCATTTGGTACCATTTGCTGTTATCTGGTACTTTTATGGTTAATTGAAAGCTGCTATTGAAATACCCTATATTGCCTATCAGGTCTGATTATTACAGCATTTGCACAAAAAAATACCACAAACCATACAAGTTTTCCTCCATCAAAGAGAGAATAACTGCAATAGTTATGTAAAAGTAAACATTATGTCATAATTACTGTTTTCAGAATTGTGAAGATATAAAAACTGTAGGTAATATTATTTATTTAACATGCAGTTTTTATGTAATTCAGTGCCAAAATGCATGTTTTTCCAAATAGCACTAAAACGAGGCAAAGAAACTGGTTTTCAAATTGCGACTTACTTGTCACATTATAATGTAAACCAATTTCAACATTTTCGTTTGTTTTGTGTGAAAACTGTTGCACTATTTTTGGCTGTATTTTCTAGCAGTCCACTGCATGCCATTTGTGTAAAGAATTCTTTCTATAGTTCTTGTGAACTGTCTCACCCTGACATTGGAATCTAGGGTTTTGGCAAAGTATTTTGTTACCTCAGTCTTGTATCAAGTTGCTGTGTTTTTCAGTTTGTTACATTGATAATGATTGTTTCGTTAATTAAATACTTTAATGTAAAAAAAATTCGTTTACTTCAACAGCAGTTGGATTTGGTTGTAAGTTTAAAAATGTGCAGAGTATGTATGCTGTTAACAATAAAATATTCAGAAAAAGAATAGTAGAGGTACAGAAGGAACATTTTAGATCAAAGGCAGCAATCGTTTTATTTGTGAATGGATGGTAATACAGCGTAACAGATTTTATAGTGCATAGTGTGTAGCCATTTAATAGTATAAATACAGCAGAATCAAAATTTCTGAGATAAAATTGAAAAACCCTCCAAATGTTCAGTTTCTTCAAGTGGGATTTGGAAAGTCCAAAGAAACAGAGACAAACCTAAATTTCTTGGCACTTAAACTCAGCAAATTTGCAGATCACATCAAGCTGAGGATGCAGTGACACATCTGAGGGACGGGGCCATCCAGAGGGACCTGGACGAGCTCAAGCAGTGGCTGAGGCTGACATATTTCTGATGAACAGACTGAGAGCAACCCTGGGGAGGACTTAAGGGTGCTGGTGGGTAAGAGGCTGGACATGCCCCAGCCACATGTGCTGGCACCCAGAAACACCCCGTGTGCTGGGCTGATCCCACAGCATGGGCAGCAGGTGAGGAGAGGATTCTGCCTCTCTGCCCTGCTCAGGTGAGACCCCACTTGCAGTGCTGCCTCCAGCTCTGGAGTCCTTGGTATAAGAAAGACATGGACCTGCTGCAGCGGGTCCAGAGAAGAGCCACAAAAATTATCCTAGGGCTGGAGCACCTCTGCTGTAAGGAAAGGCTGAGACAGTTGGAATTGTTTAGCCTGGAGAAGAGAAGGCACCAAGGAGACCTTATTGCCACCTTTCAAGTACTTCAAGGGGGCTTATAGGAAGGATGGGGACAGACTTTTTAGTAGGGCCTGTAGTGATAAGAGAAGGGATAATGGTTTAAAACTAGAAGGTTGATTCAGACTAGATATAAGGAAGAAACTTTTTGTGATGAGGACAGTGAAAAACTGGGTTGGTTGGCCAGAGAGATGGTGGCTCGCCCATCCCTGGAAGTGTTCAAGGTCAGGTTGGATGGGACTCTGAGCAACCTGATCTAGTGGAAGGTGTGCCTGCCCATGGTAGGGGACTTTGACTATGTGATCCAACTCAAACCATTCTATAATTTTATTATTCCATATTCAAGGTAAATAAGCTCCGTATTATGACTGGCAATGAAGGTCCTTTAATTTCTGCAGAAACATAATTTCATTTGCCTGAGAGAGAAATTAAATGTTACCTAATGTGAAGATGAGAGCAAAATAAACTAATATAAAGTTGCTATTTTTACAGCTGAAAAAGAAAGCTTATATCCTTTCACTAAAATGGACTCTTTTTCCTGTTATACCCCAGAAACAGGAAGAGTGTTTAAAGACTCTTTTATTACTTGGTAGTCTTAAAAATAAGTTGGATCTAGACAATTTTCCTCCAGGTCATCTCCAGTGTTTAATTGTAAATATTTTATCAAGGAAGCATCAATAAGTGTGTCTCATATTTACCAAATGGTTCTTTTCACTAATAGCATCAGTTAAAATGGAAAAATTGATTGGAATTATTCTCCTTCCCATAGGTAACAGGATAGAAAATACACAAAGGAAAGGAGGGAAAAAAGTTAGAAAGGAAAACCAACAGTCACAGTATCCAAGACTAACATTGTTATGGAGTCAAATTGCAGGGGGGAGAGAGGACTACTTTCTGCATTGCAGTTTTCACTATAAGGTAACATACTTTTGTCATACAACACCCAAAGATGAGTACTGAAGAGCTTATGAAATGCTCATTATGTCCAAGCCTCTTGTCTTGTAACATGGGAGAGAAAAACCAAAAGGAAATGTCAAATAACTTTGTTCCTATGTTAGATGCCAGGCTGTGCTTAGGTATGCAAGGAATGGCACTGGTAAATTGCATTTATTTTTCTTCTGAAATCGATAATGGTGTTGCGGTATTTCTATAGCTGTGACTCTGGAGATTTGTTTATCAAATTTGGAGAATATACCAGACCTTTCCTTGGGGGGCTGTGAAGGGAAAAAAAAAGTCAAAGTTCACATGTCTCAATAGACCTCAGAGGTAAGAGCAAGTCAGATAAGCACATTAGGAAGGATGAAAACACCCATTTTGCGTCAATTAAAACACAGTTGTGCTAAGGAAGTGCAGATAGTAATGAATTGGAGGAAGTATCTTTTATATTTCTGGACTTCATCTATAGCCATGTTCTTTCTGCCAGAAATCAGCTTTTCAGCTTCAAGGAAGAATAGGCTGGAGTGGGGGTTGGGTTAGGGTTAGGGTGTGTACCAATGATTACTTGCTTCAGACAATCCATGCTTTGGGTTTGCAAGCATGTTGTAACTGAATATAAAGCAAACAAGCAAGGTCAGAAAGCAAATAGATTTCTTCTCACATACATATAGAGAAAAATCCATCAAATTCTACAGAATAAAAGTAGCGAATAACCAGCTAGGTAAGCTATTTTAAGTATAATTTGTTAATTGACACCACTGTCCTTATAAAATAAAATAATTTCTGAACAAAAAGGAACACCCTAGAGCCCTGGAAATGCTGAAAGTTATTTGTAACAAATGGTTACCCTTTCTTGTAATAATACAAAACTGCAAAATTGAGCCTGTCTGACATGAATACAATGAATATATAACTTGTTGAACATAATGTCATACTCTCTTGCAGGGCAGAGACAAAAAATGGAAAGCAAGGAAAGGGGCAACTAGCTGGTGCAGAAAGGCGAAGGTTTCAAAAAAACCCACAAAACAACACTTCCTTTTAGATTACGAGGTGTTCTTTGCTGCTTTCAAGTACAGCATACTTGGAAGTCCAACTAGTCCTGTCTGCATTGTTTAACAGTGCAATTGTTTTAATTCTTTCAACAACGGGGAGAAGGGGAGGGAATAGTTTTTATTTCACCTACCAGCCTCCAAGAGGGTGCATTCGTAACTGTTGAGGAGACTTGATTTTCGAATCCTGAAGGTGAGTTTTTATGGGCTTTTTTTTTTCCCTGCATATATTTATGGAAAAAGAGAGGTGATGTGGAACACACATAGACACTTTTGAACACAATTCACTCTTGGGCTTACGCTGAACTGCTGACTTTGGCATGCACTGTGAGGGGTGTAGGGCTCCAAGATCACCAAATGATGATTATGTTTGAATTTAAAACTTTTCTAAATTTGCTGAATTTTTTAACTGAGAGAAGGGGGAACAAGAGAAGAAAGGGCCTTAAGGCTGCAGGGGAGGGGGCATTAATGTTTTGATTTTTCAGTTATTATTTTGTAAATCTTTCTCATGAGCTAATTTCCTTGCCTATGCTTTAAGGTAAATGGCCCAAGTAATTCTTTGTGTTTTTAAGTGAACCCTTTGGTCTCCTTTCTTACCTGTGTCTGAACTTTATTGTTTCTCTTTCACCTTTTACTAGGCAAAACAAACAGAAATTCTCAGTGAACTTTCTGTTTCCACAGAAACACTGGAAACTTGTCAGTGTACTTCGGGATGTTTTTTAATGTGGCCAAACATTCCCCTCTCTCTAGTTAATTAATGATTAATGTAGCCACCAAGAAAAGGTGTGCCAGGAATGAGGGACATACTGGTACGAAGTCCAATTGGCAGTGACCTGATTTTTTCCTCCAGTTATTTATACTGAGTCACAAAGAATCAGACTGAGACACCTCTTGCTGACTTCTGCTCTTCCCTCAGCTTAGTAAACTCCTGATATCACAATAGGGGCCAGGAGAAGAGCCTTCTTAGAATGGAAATTTCAATAAAGAAACTGGAAGTCAAAGGTGAGTACAGAAGTTTGGAGTAACCTCCATCTATGAGGTGACACAGTTGCTTTAGAAAAGGAGGAGTCCAGGCATGAACACAAGCCCTCTGGAAAATCCATATGCAATGGTGCCCAGGGCAAATTGATGCAGCTCTGGCGTTGTGGCACAGGTTTGTGAAAGTAAATGTGAAGTCTGAAAGGCGAAAGACTTTTTCTAATAATTTTTTGGTTTTTCATAGTATTGGTGATTTGTTGGTTTTCTGATATTCTTTTTTCTAAGTAACTGGCCTTCATTATAAGCATATATGTTGAGGTTTTGCACCTCAGTTGAAAAATTCATTTTTAAAGCATTCTGTCAGGGCCCTGTGGGTACTAATTGCCATAATGGCCCTGACCAGCCCATCTGGCACACCCTCTATGGGCCCAGTATCCCATTTAAGCTCAGCTCTGGGCCCTCAGCCCCTGCCTGAGATCTGCCCTTTAAGGCTCAGGCCCCACAGACCTTGGGCTCCAGGCCCTGACAGCAGGTTGTCTCAGTTGTGGTTTTGCATTGTCCCCTGGGGACCCTGAGGATCAGCTTCTTGGCTTGGCCTCAGACCTCTCTCATCCCACAGACTTGTTGGGTGGTCTTAGGTTCTGGGGGAGGGAAGGGAGTTGGCTGTGGCCATGGCCATGGCCAGTCCTGCTCTCCTTGCCACAGTACCAAGAGAGTGGGTCCTGGTTTTTGAGGCCTCTTCCCCACCAGTTTCTTCCCCGTGAGTCCTAAAAAGAGAAATTGAGAGGTTTTCTCTCTAAATAGCTAATAAAGCAGACAAATCCAGCTTGCTCCCCCCCGCAAAAAAAAAAATATTTCTATTCTTTTGCATGTCTGCTCACCTAGTCTGCAGCTTCATTTAAGTTAGTGTTTATGTTGGCTATTAATACAGGTCCACCGGCCAAGCAAGTGTTGACTCAAATTATATCTATCTACTATTTCAAACACCTGCTGTGCTAGATTAATTTGATGTGATTAAATACGAAGTTTTATTTTCTGGTCTCATAACTGTGCACACAATTTTGTATTGATTTTATCATTATAAAGCTAAAGAGATAATCTTGGCAGGACTAAGTTTACCAAAGGCTCCTCTGAAAAACACAAGGGGCTATTTAAGATGAAACACAATAGGTTACAGTTGATCTAATGGGAAATGTTTAAATCCTGATCAGAGAAATCTCCAAGTCAAATTTGTTTATCCTGAGAAAATGACAGAAACAGAAAGCAAGCTAATTTACTGTACAGGAAGTTAACAGAGTCACGGGGTTTCCCCACAGACAGTCAAAAGCATTAGTACAATTGTAGAGGAAGCAGATGGGGAACACGCAAGGTTGTGAGGTCTCTCATTTCAGTGGAAGCAGAATAGGAGCACTGGAAAGCATGAAGTACTACACAATGAGGCTTGAAACTGTGAGTAAATATACTATCGTTTGATTCCTCTGATGTTCAGAAGGGCATGGTTTTGTGCGTTCTGGTGAAATATCAAGACTGCACATAACAAACTCCATTTTTTTTCACTTTATGTAACAACTGAAAAATGCCACGGTGGTGTCTTAACTATTCCAGGCAAAATGGGTGACAGTGTTTTATAAAACTTTACTACAACAGTTATTAAAAGCAAGGTTCTTTTTTTGGTGTGTGAATATGTTTCTCCAATTGTGTTCATATAACACACCTTGCAGTTAAACACTGTCTTCCGGTTTCTTCTCTGTACTGCAAGTAACCTAAGCAAACAGAGAAGGTCCGGAGTGGCTAACGTGTTTTAAAATTCCTCTTTTGAAGAGGAGATATAGTTTTCAGTTTCTGAACACAGAAAATATTTTCTTTGGTAACAGAGACCACAGCGATATCAGACAAGTGGAAACAGTGCTGGTTTGTTCCTTACTGGAATGCCATCCTATGCGAAGTGAGGCTTTGACAATATATGTTCGTCTGAACAAAGGAAGTACAAAGCGGTACAATAAGTATCTCTTAAGTCCTCGTGTATAATCCTTTTCCAGAATGACAGTGGCTATTTCTGGTGAGAAATTATTGCTGTGACAATAGTTGAAATGCTACATTTTTTAAAGATCCCATCCCATCTGAAAAAAGAGAAACTTAGTGTTTTAATCACCTGGTTCAGTCGATATCAGCTAATGGTTGCAGCCTGTGGATTCCAAAAGAAGTGGCACAAGCCTGAACCCAAAATCATATTTCATATTTGGGAACTGATGCCATCCCTTTCTTGGAAAATTTGTGTATCACCTAGTATCCCTTTAAACAGGTCAAAATGAAAGACAGAAATGGGATGATGCTCAGTAACCACTGGAGCTTAACAGAAATTAAACAGTTATTTGATGAGTAGGTTATTTAAACAGAGTATATGGATCTCTGCATGTCTCTGTAGTTTGTATAGACTTCTAAGTCCCTGTGTAAAAAGGACTTACTTGTTTCTTTAGCGTCCCTGTCTGAAAAGTTTTACTCACAGTCACCTTTCATGCCCTACAAAGCCCCTGGCTTCTAATTCGAATGCTAGTCTACTTTTTTCCAGATCAAGTGGATAATAATGCTGTTGGCATGCTAAAACTACCAATTGATTGTTTGAAAACAAATTTTTGGGATGAATTTATATTGCCTAAATTGGGTAAGGTATACATACAAAAAGTGAAGAGAAACAATAGCAAAAGTTTGTTTGTACATAGTTCAAAAAGGAGCAGGAGATTGCTTCACCTAGGAGACGTGAGGGACAAGGGAACATTCGAGTGAACTTCCTGCTTTGCATAACTTGTACATAAAACTAAGATGAAGACTTCTGTGCAGAGGTATATACAGGAATTGCTCTCTTTATATTGGCTAGACAGTAGTGGTGTTCCAAAAGGTAAAGCATATTTTAAGATTTGGTCTTTATTGCAGGAAGACACTACTAGTTTTCTACTATTTCTTAAATCTTAAAAATGCAATTTTCCTGTAAGTTTCCCAGGCCTAATTTAACAAGAATTATTCAAGGCATATTGCTTCCTGCTGTAAGACTGACGACTGAAAACATATTTCACCAGAACAGTGTAATGATTTTTTGCACTTAGCATCTGTATAAAAACAAAGAAACAAACGAACAAACCTGGATCCTGTATTTCTGCAAAAAATCATGACAGACATTAGAACTTTATTATCACTTTGTTTCATCTCCCTCTTTAGTAAATTTGTCCCATCTCCTATGCAGTAAATCATCCTCCACAGAAAAGTTTCTATCATGATGCTCTGGTTTTCTCTACCTTCCTCAGTCCTTTTTATGCTGAGGACCCCAGAGCTGGATGCAGTTCTCCAGGTGGGGTTTCATGAGAGCAGTGCAGAGGGGGAGAATCTACTTTTGATGCAGTCTAGGACACAGGATTTCTGGGCTACTAGTGCACATTGCCAGGTCACGTCAAGCTTCTTGTCCAGCAGCACCTCCAAGACCTTCTCAGTCCTACTGAAATCAACTGCCAGTTTAGAACTGTGGTCTGAGACTTAGCATCTCTAGTGGCAAAAGCAGTTTATGCTTACGTAATCTCAGTCGCCTTATCGAATGAAAAGATCCTAGACAGTGTTGAATACCATAGGATCCTACTAGGCTCCAAAAAACATTTTCATTGTGACTTGGTAATCAGGACACTGAGAGACTGTGACAGGATCACTCATACAAATGCAGTTTGTGTTCACAGCACCTTTTTAGGAAGAACAGGGGAAAAGATAATACTCCAGTTTTACAAACTTCTCAGAACATCAAATGATAAAGAATGTGGGTTCTCTCAAACATAAAGTTTCTTCTAGGCCTCAAAGTGATTCAAATTACACTATATTACCATTACTATATATCAAAACAGCTGAACCTGTTGCACTTCGCCCAATTGTAGAGTAAAATATAACAAAGCTCGGAATGAGGAGGTGTAAGAGAATCTCTCACTTTTTTCCAAACCTTTATGAAAAGTCAGCTCTTCATACTAGATTTTGAGATATCAAAACAGTAACAGTTGTATTTAAGAGAGTACAGGTCCATACAAAACATTACTCCTTTTTGACAAATCACTAAAAGTGAATTTTTTGTGTGTTTGTTTTGTTTTAGAGAAAGTGAATTGAAGACTGAGTATAAAAGTCTATTAATTTGCAAATTGTGAAATTCAGCAATGACACACTGTGGAAAAAAACATATATGTGCTGTTGTTGCATGTATTCTTATTTTTGCAAGCATTTTAATCTGCTACTGGAAAGATCTTCAGCTACCGAATACAATAACTAGAAAAATCATCCCCCAGGCAACAATTACCAGTCCAGCAGGTCAGCTTTGTAGGGGGAAAATTGCTCAAAATGCAATAACACCATTAAAAGATAACAAAACTTTTATTATATCCCCATACTTTGATGACAGAGAAAGCAAAGTCACTCGTGTGATTGGGATTGTTCACCACGAAGATGTGAAACAACTATACTGCTGGTTCTGCTGTCAGCCCAATGGAAAGATCTATGTATCAAATGCAAAAATTGATGTTCACTCAGATAGATTTGGATTCCCTTATGGTGCAGCAGATATAGTTTGTTTGGAACCTGAAAACTGTGATCCAACTCATGTATCAATTCATCCCTTTGCACATGGAAATATTGACCAGCTGCCAAGGTTTGAAATTAAAAACCGCAAGCCTGAGCCCTTTTCTGTTGACTTCACTGTGTGCATCTCTGCCATGTTTGGAAACTACAACAATGTCTTGCAGTTCATACAGAGTCTGGAAATGTACAAGATTCTTGGAGCACAGAAAGTGGTGATCTATAAGAACAACTGCAGCCATCTGATGGAGAAAGTCTTGAAGTTTTATATAGAAGAAGGAACTGTAGAGATAATTCCCTGGCCAATAAACTCACACCTCAAGGTTTCCTCTAGATGGCATTTTTTTCTGGATGGAACAGACATTGGCTACTATGGACAAATCACAGCTCTAAATGACTGTATATACCGTAACATGCAAAGGAGCAAGTTTGTGGTTCTTAATGATGCTGATGAAATAATTCTCCCTCTTAAGCATCCAAACTGGAAAACAATGATGAGCAGCCTTCAGGAACAAAATCCAGGGACTGGCATTTTCCTCTTCGAGAACCATATCTTCCCAGAAACCGTCTCTACTCACATGTTCAACATCTCGTCCTGGAATACTGTGCCAGGTGTTAATATATTACAGCATGTTCACAGAGAGCCTGACAGGAAAGATGTTTTCAATCCCAGGAAGATGATAGTTGATCCACAAAAGGTGATTCAGACTTCTGTCCACTCTGTCCTACATGCCTATGGGGACAGTGTGAATGTTCCCATGGATGTTGCCCTCATTTATCACTGTCGGAAGCCCCTTCAAAGAGACCTCCCCAGAGAATCCCTTGTCAGGGATACAGCCCTGTGGAGATACAACTCATCATTAATCATGAATGTTAACAAGGTGCTGTCTCAAACCATACTGTAAGTTCAAAAGGGAAACCTCAGTTCTAAGGAGGGAAAGTGGAGAGCCACCCTTACTGTGGGAAGGCAGAGGAGATTGTTTAAAGAGCACATCAAAATGATTTCCACATGAAGGTTACATTTTGCAGTGATTTAGGAAAGTAGCCCTTTTATGTACTGTATAATTATATATGCATTTGATATGTGAACTGAATCAATGTATCCAGGGAAGAGATTTTCAAAATTGAAAAAATTATTTGGTTCACAAATGGTGTTTGAGGCTTCAGTCTACTATTTTTTAATGATATTTACACATGATTGGGAAGTACCTGATGACACTGTTATATGTCTTTGCAGGAAATTGGTGTGACGTAGCTCTTATCAAGGATACATCCCCTTGGAGATACACATCTTTGGCTTTGAAAGTGAACTTTGGCTATGCTACAATTTGAAGTGTAATAATGAAATGTAAAGGTGTTGCCATACGCATTTAATGCTACCTTCTCCCCAGCAATAAATGCATTGTATGTTTACATTCTCTAATACTCACAGGGGAAAAAAAAGGTCTGTAACTTAATGGCCTTTGACAATAGAAAAAAGTATCCCACCATGGAACTCCTTCAAATGGTAACATTGTATTTTGTTGTAGGAATGATTCAGCTATCAGGTCTGTCTCCAAAAGTAGACAGACTCCTGTAAACTACTGGATTTTATCGTTGTGTAATTATCAAATTTCCCAGTACTTTTTTAAAGATTGATTCGGATTTCGAAAATATAATGCTCAGCTTGTGTTTCTCCATTTTACACAAGTTAATGTGTAAGTGACAGTTCAGCGCCAGGGTCGAGTCCGGAGACTTCCCCGAGCACGGTGCGGCACTGCTGAGGTCCTTCTCCTGCACCTGGGCTATCTATGCCGCTCATTTCAGGGATGCGTCTCCCCGGCACACGGCACGTGGACCTGGGTGATCGGCCCGCCCGGCGCCGCCGCGGGCCGGGCAGACCTTGCTCCCCGAAATGCTCCAGGACTGGCCGCCGCGTCTCGCCTGGGGCCTCCCTGCCCAACGCCCCGGGGGACGGGGCGGTAGCGGGCGCGGCCAGAGGCGCAGAGGTGAGGTCACCGCCCGCCCCGGGCTTCCCGCCGCCTCCGGCCGAGTCTCCCCTGCCCGCCGGCTGGGCCTCCTCGGGCCGCGCTCTGCTGGGGCCGCTGGCAGGGGCTGCTCGCCCACCGCCGGTGCCGGTACCGTGTCCAGCGATCCGTGCGGAGGCACCAGCCCGGCTCGATACTGCGAGCAGCCGCCCCGGGAGCGCCGTGCGGGGGCGGATGCGAACGGCCCCACCCAGACCGCGGCGGGCGGGGGCTCTGCCTGAGGCACGGCCTGGGCGAGGACTTGCGGGGTCTCCCTGGCCGCAGCCGGCGCCGCCTCGCCGGGCGGCAGATGACGGGATCGAGCGCACCTGCCGCGCTCGGCTTAGGGGCGCCTTGCGGCTGCTGCTGTTCGTGCCGCAGAGGTGGCCGGGGAAGGGGCGCGAGGGCTCCGGTAGCACCGGCCCACCTCCCGCGGCGGTGCCCGCACGGGGCGCTGGTGGCGGCGGCGCTGCGCGGCCCCCGCTGCGAGCGGCGGGACCGAAGGCCGGGAGAGCCCCCGCTCTGCCGCCGCCGTGTGCGCGTGGTCGGCCCGGCGGGACCCGGGCGGGGCTGGGCTGCGGCACCCGCTCGGGTTCCTGCATCTGGCATCGCTCGCAGGAGAGGCTCGGGAGTTTATTTCCATTCAAGAAATGTAAAATCAGATGGTCGTCAGCTATAGCGTTATTTTACGGTACTGGTGCTAACCGCTCAATGGTAAGTTAAAGGTACAAATCAAATTGTCCAAACCAGGCTTTTTGAGTCTACATCTAAAGACATGCCAAGCGTGGACTTTAATCTTGGATTTAAAGCATGCGTAACTGCTCTAAAGAGTAGTTCCAGTGTGTGGTGTGGGTTAACCCTGTTAGGCAGCTCAGTTGCTCACCCTTCCCCTTACAGTGGAATGGGGAGAGAATCAGAAGGGCCAATGTGGAAAAATTCATGGGTTGAGTAAAGAGTGTAAGAGGTAAAGCAAAGCTGTGTGTGCAAGCAAAGCAAAATATGGAATCTATTCATTATGTCCCCTTAGCAGGCACATTTATAGCCATTTCCAGGAAAGCAGGGCTTCATCAGGTCTGATGGTAACTTGGAAAGCCACATGTTGTCAGTCACCTGTCTCCTCCTCCCCCCAGCTTTGACTGCTGAGTGTGGCATCATATGGTGTGGGAAGGGCCTTGAATCAGTTTGGTCAGCTGCATCCCCTGCAAGCTTCTTGTGCTGCCCTACTTCTGGGACAGGAGCCACATGAGAAACAGAGATGGCCTTGACGCTGTGTGAGCACTGCTCAGAGATAGATAAACAGCACTGTGTTTGAAACACTCAGTTTGGTCACCAAACACAGCACCCTGCTGGCTACCATGGAGAAAATTAACTCTGGTCCAGCTAAAAAAAGTACAGTGTGAAAGACAAAAAGATGAAATAACAATCTTTTAAATGTCATGCAATTTTGATTTTGCCTGATCAATTTTTTTTCCAGTGGACACAAAGTCTAATTGTTTACCATAGGAGGAATTTGCTTAGGGATGCACAGCAGATTATCATGGAGAAGTTTATGAGTGTACAGGGAACTGTTGGTTTGTTAGTTCTAATGGCACAAAATAAGTATATGGCAACACTGTATATTGGTCTGGCTTACCATCTGTGTATTTAGAATAGAAATGGCCAGTTTAATTTTTTTTAAGCAGTATTTTACAAGGAGTGGAATAATACTGCCTTCAGTTTAATCCTTCAAACAATATGCTCCTGACTTTGGATCTTATAAGAGAGGAAGGACACCAGTGTGTCAAAGAGTCTTTCTGAAAAATGTAATCTATGAAAAGATTAGCAACAGACAATCTAGATAAAGATGGTAAATGATTTGGAATTTTTATTTAGCACCAGTGGTTTGTGTTGTTACTTTTGACAAAAATCATAAAGTAGAGGATAGAAAATACCTTTTTTCAAAAATAATAAGTTACTAAGGCTGTTTGTTAGTCGTGGGTTTTTATTTAGGCCCTGCGTAAACCAAGGCTTAGGCTGTCTATGATTTCTGTACCACTGAATCCAGTACTTCGTATTAGCAACTGAAGCTCTGCAATCACCTCTATCAGTTTGCCCCCTATCCTTACCCTAGATTGGGAGATAAATAAACCGAGGGTTATCAAAAATTTCACTTAGTGTAAACTTTGTGAAGATACTGAAATAAGCAGCTTAAAAGGTCTTCAGCTGTCTCCATGCAAAGAAAACAAGTTACAAAGGAAGGCCATAATGCGGAGAGCATGTGAGGAAGATAAACAATTACCAAGAAATGGCTCTTGAACTAAATTAGCACTTGGTTCCACCTTTTAGTGAGGACAGTGTCAGTTGCGGAGGATTAAAGGCAGATGACGGAAAAGTTCTTAAAGTAGAAGCTGTGCAGCAAAGGTAAAAACAACATCCAGTTGGAAGGCAATACAGAACAATTTCCATTTCAAAATTCTAAGAAGACAGACCAGGTATTGGAAGAATCTATAATGGGAGTTTATTAAAAAGTGTCGTGAGCATAGTGGTACAATGTGGCTAAAGCATGAGTGATTCCTTGGTTTAGGAAGGAAAAAAAAGATGATTTAAGTATATGAAAGTTTGTAGGTGCATTCTTGATCCCATACGAGCTTTGAGAGAAAATTTTAGAAGGACTGTGACAAAAGAAATAAGAAGAAATGTGATTAATTTGAGCAGCCTGATCTACTGAAATATGCCCCTACCTACAGCAGAGAGACTGGAACTAGATGATATTTAGAGGTCCTGTCCAACCCAAGCCATTCTATGATTGTAACTGTGACAAGAGCTCTTTATTGTGACCTTACCGCAGAAGAAAACACATTGTGTAACTGCACTTGGCCAACAAACTGGGCAGATGTATATTAATCATTGGCTGATGACAAGCTCAGAGGTAACTGCGCAATGTGATGCACCGTCAAAAAATGTAATCCTGGCATGTATTAAGAAAGAAAATTTCCAACAATGATGAGGGCTTGTTACTTGTCATGCACAAATGGACAAGGGACAGAGATTTCTAGTCTCCTGTATTGGAGATTAATTGAACCTTGGCCAAGCACGCAGAAGTGATTGGTAAAGGAAGAGTGTTTCTTCTGAGGCGGTTTTAGAACAGCTTGTCTTGCTTAATGAAACAGTAACAAATACAAGGACTGGAAGGTGATATGACTGCAGTCTGTCTGTCAGGGCAGTGAGGAGCCTGCTTAGGGGGAATACTGCAAAGTAGCCATCGATACCAGTAGCTAAATTTAGCATTAAAACAAATTTGTATAATTTGTATCATGTTCTACTTGCATATTAATTGGAATTAAAAGATACAAAATTGGACTTAATTATTATTGTTTTTATAAAAGAAACCCTTTTAAATATGCTGAAAGCATACTTTTGAAGTTAAAATTTGCCAAGTACTGTAGTGAAGAAATTGAATGCTCCTAATTACACTGACTTTATGTATTTTCTGACTATGTATCTGTGCTGTTGATTTCAGGAGGTCAAAATTAATGAGTATGTTGGGGAAACCATGATTTTCACTCCTTAAATAACTGCGTATTTCTTTTCTTTAAGATTCTGTGTTCTGGTATGTCTTGAGCTCTAGATTTTGCTCTTTTTCTTTGCTTCTAGAACCTGCTGTTGTTTCAGTACTCTCTCACAGGTCCTCACAGGATCTGTATTTACCTATTTGAACTAGGCCTGTAGTGTGTTAGGAAAAAAATGATTGCCCAATAAATACAGATATATGGTATATTTTTTCTAGTTCTTTTTAAGTATGTGTGTGAACTGGGGATATATGGACACGAAAGATTAATTTCCAGAAGGAAACTTAAGTAGCCTTAAGAAAATCACCTATGTTTGATTTGCTTCAACAACTCCACACTCATTTGTAATTTAAATTAAGTTCTTGTGGCACAACTGTATTCATTGCTCAAGAGAAGGAAAACTTGTTTTTCTAGTAGGTGTGGCTGCTGTTACTGACATTAACAGAGCACCAGCTATCTGAAATACAATGTGTCCATAGCTGACTTAGGTGTTGTACCAGGATTTTTTCCCTCAGTATTGTTCTGTATTGAATAATACTTGCAATTTACCTTAAAAATATTTAAGTTTTTATCTGTTTGAAATAAGCGATTGGTAGATTATCTCAGCAAAATACCTTAGCAAAAAATAAATGGAGGACTGAACAGAACTTCACTGAGCTATCTGCTTTAAAAGGTACTTTTTCCTTTCCAGTGTTCACTGTTTAAAACAGTTGAAAAGATGTATTTCTTCTTGTTTATTATCTGCTAGCAAAAGCAGAAGAAAAAAGCAGGTAATAAATTTATTCTGTTATTTAATGTTGACATGTTTGGATATTTCTTTAGTTAAAAACTATTCTATAAGACTGAACAATATTTTTAAGTCATAAATAGATAAGACTAAGGAAAAAATGTTAAATGTGACCTCCTCTATGTTGTAAGAATGCTAATTTATATAATAACATCCTTGGAATGAGAATGCTTGGGGGAAACTTTTTGTACTTTAGAATGTTTCATAAAAAGACTTAGAAAATTTGAGTTGTTTTCAGTCACAAATCTCCAGCTGAAAGTCATGTTGAAATAGAAAATAAAATAAAATTTAGCTATGTTAATTTAGCTATGTAAGTGTGACTTTGCAAAATGTAAAACTGCTTACCAAACTGTGGGCAATTAAGATAAAAATACCTTAGGGAACAGGGAAGGCTTTTTAGCACGTAGAGAGGGGTGGGGAACCTGAAACTGTTTGAAGTGATAAAACTTTATGTAACTACTCTATAATGGTAAGAATAGGAGGTATAACTAAGTGTCTGTTTAGATAAGGCAGACTGCAAAAAGAGTGTGTGTATAGATAATTTTAAACTTGCTACTTTCAGACTGTATAAAAAGCTATGGTATTCCTTTGCTCAGGGGAGTGCACTGGGGAAAACACCTGCCCCTTTGCATTTCCTGGCCGCAATAAAAGTGCTTTTCAGATTGTTCAAAGGTTTCTTTGAATCAATGTGACAGTTGCAGACTCTTACCATGTATTTGCAGTTCTGATCCTAATTGTAAGAACTTCTTGGGGAAGGACTTCTCCGTTTCAGAGACAGAGGAGTCAGTGCTTTCTGCTGCTCCTTTTCTGCTTTGCGCCTAGTGGGATACAGTGAGATTTCTGGTGCCCTGTGACTGTTCCAATCTATAAAGCAGTTTCTTGGTAGCTGGTAAAGGCTGCTGTAAATCATAACCCTTGGCAAATGGGGCATTTTAAGGAGTATGTTGTGATTGTAGTTCTCCTTACTTGGCTTTCTCATGAAAGAGCAGTTGTGAAAATATTTTACATTATTCTGAAGGCATGAATGATTATTTTTTGCTTACTAGAAACATTTTCTTCATCTCTGCAACAGCATCACTTTATTTCGTGTTGGCATTTTACCCCACACTTCTTGCTGGCAGCTGGGGAAACTCTTCTTCCAGTCTAGTTTTCTGATCTGGCGTGAATTTGATTAATCTGGGACACACTTTTTCCAAAGATCCTTGTGATACAACCAGGCCTTTGAAGAGACTTGCTGTTACTTTACTGTTTATGGATCATATCTCAATGCCTAAAGATGAATTTGTAGAGAAAACTTCAATCTGAGCTCCATTTGCAGAAATTACTGCTTGAGAGTGCCCTGAGCTCCAGTCTGGGCATTAACACTTGCTCAAGATTGTGGCCATGCAGGTACTCAGGGCTGCCTGTCTGTCCCTGCAGCAGCAGGAGTGTAAGAGCCAACCACCAAAATGTTCCAGGAGCTGAGCCAGCATTAAAGCAGTGTGAGGGGGCCCTGATCTCCAGTGAGCATTAATATGTGGTGACCTTTCCTGCAAGCCCTTCCTTGTACAGTGCTAAGTAGGGTAGAGCTGCCAACTGAGAATAAGTTTAATACCTGCATAGATTTCACATGTCTACTGCTGGATTGTATGAATTGACCTTCCTCTGTATGTATTGCCTCATCTGTGGTGAACTGCAAATTAGGAAATTTATAAATTAGCAATTATATCTGAACTATTGTGTGCAATCCCCAATTAGTATGTTTATTATGAACTTGATTAATTCTATATACATTTAATTTACATATCAGCCTCTTGCTTGTCTGTGAGAAGTCTGGTTGCAAGGATTTTTTTTACATAATATACGCTGTAGGGGAAACAAAAGTTTTGCTTTGCTTTAAGAATTACTGCCTAATTATTAAATTGGTTATTCTAAAATTTGGATTATAGAAAATATTGATTAGTAATAATGATTAATAATTACTCCTTGTGCTGCTGTATATAGACCTCTTTTATATTCTTCTACAGACCCCTCCATGTACAGAAACTGCTCCAGACATCTGACAAATGGAGGCATTCAGAGTGTCACATGCAGTATCATCCATACCATTAAAGGTGTGTTCTGTGGCTGATTTTACATAAAAGCACAGTAGCTGGGTCTCTGATTAAGTCAGTGCAAAATGATAGAGATTTACCCCCGTCTTATTTGTGAAATTCTTGAGCAATGATCATGAGTCGATATTATCTCATACACTACGTATTTTCTTTTCTGCAGATGTGGCAACATAAAGTACAAGGACAAAGAAATTTACATCCACCTTTAGATAAATTCAGAATGTTGTGTGGCAGGAAAAAATCTTACTTTGTTGCTGCTGTGTGCATTATTACTCTAACTTCAATGGTCACAGTTTCTTATCTTAGGTTGCAGAGACTTTCTCACCAGCCAAAAGTAATTCAAGAAGGTAGCAAATGTAGAGGGGAAATTGCCAATAGCACAATAACACCATTAAAAGATAACAAAACCTTTATTATATCCCCATACTTTGATGACAGAGAAAGCAAAGTCACTCGTGTGATTGGGATTGTTCACCACGAAGATGTGAAACAACTATACTGCTGGTTCTGCTGTCAGCCCAATGGAAAGATCTATGTATCAAATGCAAAAATTGATGTTCACTCAGATAGATTTGGATTCCCTTATGGTGCAGCAGATATAGTTTGTTTGGAACCTGAAAACTGTGATCCAACTCATGTATCAATTCATCCCTTTGCACATGGAAATATTGACCAGCTGCCAAGGTTTGAAATTAAAAACCGCAAGCCTGAGCCCTTTTCTGTTGACTTCACTGTGTGCATCTCTGCCATGTTTGGAAACTACAACAATGTCTTGCAGTTCATACAGAGTCTGGAAATGTACAAGATTCTTGGAGCACAGAAAGTGGTGATCTATAAGAACAACTGCAGCCATCTGATGGAGAAAGTCTTGAAGTTTTATATAGAAGAAGGAACTGTAGAGATAATTCCCTGGCCAATAAACTCACACCTCAAGGTTTCCTCTAGATGGCATTTTTTTCTGGATGGAACAGACATTGGCTACTATGGACAAATCACAGCTCTAAATGACTGTATATACCGTAACATGCAAAGGAGCAAGTTTGTGGTTCTTAATGATGCTGATGAAATAATTCTCCCTCTTAAGCATCCAAACTGGAAAACAATGATGAGCAGCCTTCAGGAACAAAATCCAGGGACTGGCATTTTCCTCTTCGAGAACCATATCTTCCCAGAAACCGTCTCTACTCACATGTTCAACATCTCGTCCTGGAATACTGTGCCAGGTGTTAATATATTACAGCATGTTCACAGAGAGCCTGACAGAAAAGATGTAATCAATCCCAGGAAGATGATAGTTGATCCACAAAAGGTGATTCAGACTTCTGTCCACTCTGTCCTACATGCCTATGGGGACAGTGTGAATGTTCCCATGGATGTTGCCCTCATTTATCACTGTCGGAAGCCCCTTCAAAGAGACCTCCCCAGAGAATCCCTTGTCAGGGATACAGCCCTGTGGAGATACAACTCATCATTAATCATGAATGTTAACAAGGTGCTGTCTCAAACCATACTGTAAGTTCAAAAGGGAAACCTCAGTTCTAAGGAGGGAAAGTGGAGAGCCACCCTTACTGTGGGAAGGCAGAGGAGATTGTTTAAAGAGCACATCAAAATGATTTCCACATGAAGGTTACATTTTGCAGTGATTATTTAGGGAATCTATAGCAGAGCCAGGAGTCATTTAATCATATTAAAGTTCAATGTAGATTGCACTCTTGTAAAATGTAAAATTTGTTTTCAGTTAAAAAAATAAATTTAAAAAATCAGTATTTCTCAACTGATTCAGATAATGCAAATCAGTTTTCAGCTGTACTAGAAATACAGCTATAGTCATTAGTATTAAACTTAAGTTGCTTAATTCTTGAAGTTTGTATGTCACTGGATACAAAATTTGCATGCACCAATTGAGTAAAAGGTAAATTACTGAGCTAGCTCTACATTTCAACTGTAAAAAAATTAACCCCTCATATTCTTGGAAATAGTGTCTGTTAAAGTGGTGATGTATTGTCACACTAAACAGCTGTTGGGAATTTTGCTGATCCCAGTGTCTGTTCAACTGGGTTTTTGAGACATGTAAGTTTAAGAAGAAGAGTGAGCACTCTAATTACCCACAGCTGTTCTGAATTACTTAAGTGGTAAGTGCTGAATTGTGTTGGAAAGGTTTAAAACAGAGGCAAGGGAAACAGCTTGATGTTAAAGAGACTTTTGTGAACTGAAAAGAAGCTATTTCGAGGAGGAAAAAATGGATGTCTGAACAACTATTTATGAAACATATTAGTTTGTTGGGGGTTTTTTTGGGACCTTGAAGCCTCATAAGAAAATGTTTCTTCATGAAATTTAGGCATGAGTTGCATTTTTTTAGTCCACTATGTGGTGGTGTCATGGTTTGAGATAGCCTCAAAATCCAATCCCCTAGTCTAAGCCCCCTCCCACATCTCAACCTAATGTGAGATGGGTTTTTCCAGACAAAACACACCAGAATTGAATTATATTGCTTCCTTGTGTAGGTGTAAGGGTACAGAAGCTGCATCTTTTCCAACCTTTATCTAAAAATAGTGCCAAGTAGTTACTAACTTCTGCTGAAGGGTCAGATGGAAAGCAAAGCAAACAAAAAAACGTCAGTGTAGTTCCACGGTTTCAGTCATATATTTTCTGTTTGATAAGTCCCCAAAGCTGTATGTGCTGTACTGTTGTGGCATTGTATTAGAACATTCATATGAAGGCACATCTGAGGGCAGTCAGTCTAACACTGGTGTCTGACAGAGGGAAGTGTGTGAGAGGTTTGCTTTTTTATATTTCTACACCAGTGTCACTCTTTCATCTCTTCATCTATTTTGTGGTGGCACATACCCTTAAGGAGCTCTGTCAGTAGCAGATTAGTATTATTAGCTAGCAGATGTCCAAGAGGAACTTTACTTAGAGGTCTTTAAAAAACTATTTGCTAATTGTGTTCATAATTATTAGCTGCTATGTTACGGGTTAAAATTTCATTTGTAAAACTAAAAGGGTAGAAGAGCAGCGTAGTGTGTAGTGGATGCTTGTCATTGTGGTTTCTGCTTGCATACTCTGGGGGAATGTAGAAAAGGAAAATTTAGAGTTCTGATTTAGAATTCTGATTTAAACTTTTCTGCAACTTGTGAAATACCTGTGGCAGAATTCCTTTTCAACTACCACTTCACAGCTTTTGGCTAACTGCAGCATTTGCTTCGGAGTGGCTGCAATGTCTCCGAAAGTTTGTATCAACAAACTGGCAGCTGCATTTACAGCGCAGGTGCCTGCTGCAGGGGTACTGTCTTCCTTAGTAACAGGTCCACTTAGAAGTTTAGACTCATGTAGTTTGCAAGGGGCATCTGGAAGTCCAACTTATAGCATGGTTTGCTCAGGACTTTGTCTAGGCTGGCTGGACACACAGTGTCTCTGGGCAACCTGTTCCAGACTTAACCTAATCTAACAAGAGAATTTCTCTTGTTGCAGTTTGTGACAATTGGCCGTTGTCTTGCTGTATGAGTCTGACTTTGTCTTCTTTTAGTTCCTTACTAGTTAGCTGGAGACAGTAGCAGGGCCTCCCCTCCCCTTGCCCACCACCACCACCTTCCTTTTCCCCACCATTCTTTCTGGAAGGCTGAACTTGGCTTTCAGTTTCTCAGCCATCTTGTGCTCCACCCCTCTGGATTCTGCATCATCAAGGTCACTAACAAAGTAGTTACCCACATTTTCCTGTTTCGCTGATCTGGGTACAATGACATTTCTGGCATGCTCCTGTTTAATCTTTCAGGTAACACACTGTTTTACAGGTGGCTTCTTCAGAGGAAGCTGAGTTACCACACACATCATACACGGTGTAGTTACTCCTACATTAAGAATGATGAAAACTTGGTGTCAAGACAAGTAATTGAAAGCTTTCTACTTCATGTAAGCTTCCTTCACTTTTGAGTGCAGTTTGACTTGAGAGTTGTGAATTTGGGTTCAATTTTTTAAAATCCTTGACTACAGAAACATTTTTCAAAGTAAATTGGTATGAATAAAGGTGGAAAACTGAGTGCTTAAGACTCTGGCCTTGAATTTGAGAGACAGTGCTCCACTGACTTCATGCAATTCCTATTGCATCACTCAAATACTGATTCTTGCATATGAAAACTCCCACTGGTGTAATTAATACTGCAGACATTGGGGAACCCTGGCCTTCATTCAGTACTAAGTATGAAATTGGGTCTCCTTGGAGAGTGGGAAGAAAAAAAACATATTAACAATAGTAATGCTAACAGTTTTGTCTTTTCAAGGACATGAGCCAATCTTCATGAAAACTCCTGTTTTCATGTTGTGTAAAAAAAAAAAAAGACATTAAGGGGAGATTTTATTTTAAGGGAGGAGGGGAAACCAACCTAAAGCGTTTCTAAAGCACGTGATGTCATAGATACAGCTTTTAAGTACATGTTAAATAGCACAAAAGTATGTGAACAAGTATTTGCTACTCAGCAGTTACCTTCTGTATGTCCGGTCTCTGATGATCAATAAGACCTTTTTTCAACTCCTGTGCTTTCCGGCAGACTTTTGATTTTTTTCTTTTTTTTTTTTCCCCAGAGATGTGGCATTCTGTCATTTGCCCCTGCTTTCCAACTCTAGATGTAGCAAGTACTTTAAGTGCATTATGTTAACTGCAACTTCTGGAAAAAGTGAATGGCTGGTAGACATAATTTAATATAAGAAAGTGACTTATTGTAGAGATCGAAATCATCTTCCTATTCACTATATTTCTACCTACCTGTGAACTAAATTATAACACAAACTACAGGAAATAAGGACCATAAAATACTGATCAAGCCATTCTGAGTTATGATGAACACTGTCAGAGGTTCTCTGCGGTTAACTGCGATGGCAAGCTCTGTCAAGAGATGAAAAGTTGCCTCGTTCTTGCTGAGGAGAAACCATATTGACATGTTCCTGAACTTAAAGAAATTATTATTGTTAACATCTGATCCTAGTTAAAGGGCTCGTTTGATTCTTCTGTTTCAAAGGCTAAGTATTTAAAGCTACCAGAAAGAAAAACATTTTGGAGAAAGATTCTGGAGATAGAAAAGGTTTGCTATCTTCTCATTTTTGTTAAGCAGCCATGCACTGTAACCAGTATTTGCTGTTAGATGTATAAAAGCCTATGGTTCTAAAATAGTAGCTTCACCTTCTGTTTCAACAACAAAAAAATAGGTCAGAAGTCAGGTCAAGCACTACTTCATTTCAGACTTGATAGCAGACTTGAATGGTTTAAACATTACAAGCTATGCTTCAGAACCCAAATAGGTATATTTAAACATGAGTATAGACAAAATGTTGTGGTGAATACTGTTAGCATGCTGTATTGCATTATGTCCAAAACAACCCATTCCCAAATGCCCAAATAAAAGTAAATGATTGTGCATTGCATGATGATACCATTGGGTGCGCAACTTTGGTTCATGCAAAGTCTCATTTTATGGACACGCTGCTGACAGTCCATATATTCCTGAAGATTCTGCATATGTGAGCTTTTCAGCCATGTTCTTTCCATAACACCAAATGGATACTATGGTCTGGCATACTGGTGGCAAAAACCAAGCCCGTATCATTTTGGCCATTTAGTCCATTTAACCAAGACATTTCACCAGCCAAAAAACTTGAACCTCTCTTTGACTTTCTATATTCTGGTAGTGGCCAGCGGCTTATCAGTTTTTCTGTCCTCAAGTCCATTATATACAGGTATCTGTTATCAAATAGTAGAGCAAATATCTCTCCAAAGCCCAGCAAGGACACATTTAAGAAGTCTGGAGGTTTGATAACCCTAGAAGACAAGAAAACAGTGTTAGAAACTCACAATGTAGTCATGAGCTTGAATTACTAAACCAAATCCTTAGGTGTCTATACTCACCCTTCTGAAAGAATTTAGCAAGAACTGGATGCAAATTTTTCAAATTAAGCAACTGAACACTTAGCTGCAGTCAGGCCTGTGGTTTCAGTTCTGACTTTGTGCATTCAGGACAGACCCTTCTGAACATAAATAAAAGTTAGGGTTTAAAAGGGACTGTTTTGCAGAGCTCAAGGGAAAAAAAGCCTTGTTTCCAGATACACACAGAAGAACAAATATACCCGTGTTTTACAATAAATTTCCATATGGATTTCACGTCTCAATATCTTAAAGAGGTAAAACATCTTGCTAATCTTTTGACCACTCTTTTAAAAGGCAGAAGTAAAACACAGAAATGCCTTATTGTGATAGGCAGGTAAGATAAATCATCCAAGACTGGTCCTTAACAGAATGCTGTTTTACTGATATAGCTTTATGCTAAGTTAAGCATTTTCATCCTGGGGAGAAAGAAAAATATTTGTTAGTTCCCCAATATCTTTACGATATTTTCCCTTATTAAATAAAACTTGGAAAAGAAATTAAAGAGTTGAGGTTTCCACAACTGGCTGTACATTTGATCATAGCATTACATAAAGCACAGAATTGAGGCACAAAAATGTATGGAGCTGAAAATCCGTTCGCACCAGTAATAGAACATCTTTCTCTTTTGAAAGATGGGAGGGTAAACTAAGAGGTGAAATTACCCAGTTACTCTTACTGATAAGAAGCATGTCTTTAGGAGTAGATCTTTCAATGGCAGACACTCCCCAAATATTCAGGCCATTTGAATTAAGAGTTAACTACTAGCAGTTCTGAAATGCACTTTTTTCTTTAGTAAGTTACAGTCTGATGCCACCATTTCTAATTGATACAGCTTCATTCTTTTTATGGAAACAGAAAGCTATCACGTTTGATCCCTTACTGCAGTCTGATAGATTTCACTACCATTCCACAGCATTATCGAGAATGATAGATCAGTAGTGCTGTAAGGAAAAAGTCTTTTTAATTTCTTGTCTGATCAAAGGACCCTCAGAAATGTCTGCCTGGTTCTCTTACAGCAGTCTCTATGGCAACATTAGCTTTGGGTCACTACAGTTTCCCATTCACAACTCCTGGCACTGAAGTCTGATTTAACTCTATATTGAAACACTTCAGCTTACAGAATGAAAATGTGAAAGAGGAGTAGCATGTGGCCATAAACCAAAACAGCAATCAAATTATTTGTATTATCAAATAAGAAATTAGAATTTAACCTGACAATATGTATGAAGTAAGATGTTTACAGAATTTTTATCAAGATTCTTTTGGTCCCATCAAAGTAAGTCATTAAAACTAGTATGTTCTACTTCCTATTTATTTAAAGAACACTGAATCCTAAACTGGAAGGTTTACCTGAGAATATCATAGCTGGCAAAGTCCCACTGGTACAGTCCTAGTGCTGAACTGCACACTATGTATTTACCATCAAAGTGCAGTCTGGGCTGTAGGGAGATGCTGCGATCTTCAGAAACAGACAGTGTTTTTAAGCACTTGCAGTTTATTTCCCTTCCAATAGGCCAAATCTGCAATTAAAATACAGTTTAAGACCATAAAAAATTCACATTATAAACTGTTACACAGCAAGCCTCACAGTCTCTCCAGGCATCAGGTAAAATGTGTGTGTGTTTTTTCAGAAATATTTATCTCCTTTAGGTAGGAGAATCAATTCTCCAAGTGACTTGTCTAACACTATTGTTGCAGTATATGTTGTTTCTAGCCTAAAAAACTCCAGTGAAAATGGGTGCTTTAAAGAATGGCCAAAAAAAAAAAAAATCAACCATCCAACTGGGACAGAAATCTAACAGTGTTTCAGTTATGAAACACTTCCATAGACACAAACTTACAGCACTCTCCAACCCCAAAGTCCCCAATAGTAACAGTACTTGCAGTTGAGTGCTTCACTGTCAAGTTAGCACATCAGGCATGCACTGAAAGCACCAATTCTTTGCACTACCATTCATGTAGAGCCATCATTTAAATCTAAATAAGCACTGATAATTAGTGCTTAAGATAAGCACTGAAAAATTAGCTTCCAAAGAGTTTCATGCCTTGTATGCAGCCTAACAAGCAGAAAATATGGGAGAAAATAAAGCCTTATATTATTTGTAAACTTCAGCAAAGTACTCAAGCACTTTATTTCCCTGTGTACCAAAATGATATATATGTGAGATATATATATATATATAGTACATACCTTGATTTCATACTTATCTGCACTTAGGAGAATATGATCCCCAGGACTATGCATAAGAGATTTGACTTTGCACTTCTGCAAAACTACCTGTAATTGAAGGATGTAATAATTTATGTCAATGCTGGTAAATAACAAAACTTTCATTTGTGTTTGTCACTTCACTAACCACCTGCATAGTGTATCCTTGTATAAAGGCAACACGAATACTTTTAGCAACTGAAAGAAAAGTTTACGCTTTTATTGTTCCTGCTAGTGCCAATTTACTCTATTAATAAGCACACATACACCCTTCACCTGCAGAGTCACCCCCGATCTTCCAAGTTCTGAAATAATCAGAAGAAAAATACTGTTTCATGCTTAGATTTTTGTTATCAAGATCATTAGATTTTTTTACATCATTCTTAAAGCAGCATTCTTTCAGAACCAATTTTTATTCAGTCTTTGAATCAAACACTAATTCCTAATATTACTTCAGCTGCTTTGGAATAGAAATATCTTCAATGGTCTGAAAAGTTTAATTATAGCTTACTTTATTTTTCCTATTGAAATATTATTTTGCAGAATTTCCAGATGTTCTCCAGATTCTACAACTAGTTGCAGGGTTAGGATTAGAAAAACAAAATTTAGAACACGTTACAAATTCAGTGCAAGTGTTTGCGAGATTAATTAGAAATCAATATTCCCACCTTAGTGACCCATTCTGTGTGTCCAGTAAGGGTATTCAGGCACGTTCCTGTTGATAAGGCCCATACTTTCACAGTGAAGTCTGCAGAGCCACTGACCAGAACATCAAGTTCATCATTGTAATCCACGCTAAAAACTACAAGCAAAGGAATATCAGTCTCTGTGTTCTTCTGTGAGACACTAACTAGTAGCCTCTCTATGAATTTAGTAGCCTCTAAATTCATGTGCTACTTCATCTTTAACTGTTGTTTTTGAACTGTATACATGAATTGTTGCTCTGGATTCTTAAGTTTACATTGCAAAATTACTGAGGGTTTTGTCCAAATTAAGAGCATTTACATCAGTGGTTCCTTAATGGCTGGATTATGGCAGTGTAACTAGTTCTTATTTCCAGAGTTTTAGTAAGACAATTTCAGCAGGATTAGCACATTTGATAGATCTCTTTACTCATAGGGGAACAGACCTACAGCTGAGTTGAGGATATTCTGAAGTAGAGGACAGAGAACTTAATTATGAGGGAAATGCAAATACAAATTCCCAGGTCCTATTCTGCTCTTTGCTGTAAGCTGATCTACAGTCTGGGGATATAAAGAGTGGCCATAGCCATATG